ATATTTATTTATTTTAATTATTAATTATTTATTAATTAATATTAATTAATTACGGAATTTTTTTAGGGTGCAATGCCATTCCTTATTGGTACAAAATATGATCAATTTGTACTTTTTTCAGATGAAGAAAAACAAGCTATTACAAAACAGGTTAATTTCCATCTTTATTTCAAATTATTTACTATTCCTTTTTCTCTTTAATGATTTCCTTTTTCTCTCTATCAGGCTCGTCGATTTGCCAAGGCAATGAAAGCATCATTGATATTTTGTTCAACGTCTCATTCGATCAACATTCATAAAATATTTAAAATAGTATTGTCAAAAGCGTTTGACATCAAATGCACGATTCCAGAGATTAACGAGGTTGGTGCCCCAATATTAGAATATATTAATAATACCTAGTACTTTTTAATTTGTAAATTACTTAATAATATTAGTTGTTAAATATTTGTATTTTTATTTTTGTTAATTCAATGATCGTCATAATAAATTTTTAGTCAGGATTCAATTTTTATTTTAAATATATATTAATATATTTATCAAAACCCAAGCTACAAATTGATATAAATTTTTATTTAATTATTTTCTTTATAAATACTCCTGAAAATTTTTATTTTGTTAATTTATCTTTGAGATTAATAGTTTTGTTAAAAAGTAAACATATAAATAATGGATCTTTCTATAATAATAATAACAACAGATCTTTCTCCATAACAAACTGAGAATTTAAGCCCAATTAAAGCTCCAAACAAATCAATTGATTTGAACTGAATCAATATATAATTTGATTCGAACTGATTCAATTCAACTCAATTTGAGCTAGTAATGCTGAAACTACACTTAGTGTGCCAAAATTGCTGAAATTAATTGGCCTAAACTTTGACAAAACTAATTTTAATGGCTGAAATTGAGGTTTTTTATAATAAAGTAGATTGATTTAGATAATTATTATATGTATTGGACAAAACTAACTTTTTTCCCAAAAAACTATCACTAAATAATATCCTTTATCAATTAAAAAATTTAAAATATACACAATCTTGGTTTAGCAGATAGTTTGGGTAATTAGAAAATTTTGTCACAGCAGACTATAATAATAATTAAATTAACAGATTTTTAAAATTTTTACTTCACATATAAAACATATAAAATTTTTCTTATTATTATTGTCCCATCTATCTGTTATATTGAGAAGAATTTATTATTATTATTATTATTATTACATCTTTACTTCTCCCCAGTTTGTCAGTTTTGATGTTTGACATCAGAAAATCCTTTATACAATCAAACCTTGTCACAGCGGTGGATCCATGGAACCAGTCAAAAGAAAATCTGCTTGACAAGGAATCCGTTGTGACAAAATTGATGTTGATCGTTAAATAATGTAATTGTTAAGAGCTTTTTTAATCCATAAAAATAAAGCCTTTTTGATATTAGCAAATGGAGTGACATATGGTCTTTTCGGTTTTACTTGATGAGAATTTGGGTCAATTTTAAGAATCTTTTAATGTATCACTAATTCCGTATTGGTTTTGCTAAATCAATGTTTCTTGGTTCAGGTTACTTTTTTTCGATATACAGTATATACATAATTTGCGTTTTGGTTAAATACACCTTTTTTTGGATGAAGATGATTGTTGAGACATTTTTAATAAAGTATTACTGATCAGTGGATATAGGGCGTATCGCATTACACATTAGTGTTTTTCTGCAGATAGTTTCTAGTTTACAGTTGAATTTTATACACTGTATAGGAGAATCTTTATACATTGTTTGATTTTGAAATTTGGATAAATCCTTTTGATGTTGATTAAAAATCCGTTTATTTATTGTGAAATATGGAAAAAAAAGGATTTGTTATTATTCAATTTTAGTAATTTGAATGTATTAATATATAAAACCTAAATTCGTTGTTGTGGCATTAATTTACTAATAAAATCCGTTAAGACAAATACATTTTTTAATTAATATTAATAAAAAAAGGAGGCTATATCTAAATCCGTTGTGGCGAGGTTTGACTGTAAATTAAATAACGTGACTCAAATTTAATTTATTATCATCACATGATTAAAAAAATAAAATCTTGGGCAATTTCTTATAAAACCTCTTGCTTTCTAATTTCGGCTTTACAAATGCTTCCATAATAACCTAGTCTTAAGTCTACTACATACATCATATAAAATAATGAAGAATTAAACTGCTACTAGAATTTATCAATGTTATTTTACCAACCCGGCTAATAGTCTTTACTCCGTAAAACACTGAATATCTTTTTTTAAAAAAAAGGGCTATTTTTTTATGAGGTTTACATATTCTTTAGTAGATTCTTGTGGGTTAGGTTTATAAAAAAATTACATTTTTTTGATTGTTTATTGTATATACTGTATATAGTAATAGCAATAATTATTTGAAAAATTTATACATGAGAAGTTTTGTAAAACTTGAAAAAGTACCACTTAGAAAACTGACGTGGATTTTCTCATTAACAATCATTTTTGTAACACTTAAATTCGAAAAATTCCTTCTTTTAAAACAAATTCTATATGAAAAATGACCTTTTAATGTCGTACCAATTAAATTCATCTTTTGTTAATTAATTGTTTGTCACACGCCATTAAATTCTCCGCAAAGAAAAGAGAAATAATGTAACTGTCATTCTCAAAAAAAAAAAATCCTCACATTCATTAAAACACCAAGTCGAATTTTATATTTTTATATAATGTCGCATGCTAAATTATTATCATCGTTATCACCAGAAAGAAGGAAATTTGTATGTAAAATTTATAATGAAATACTTAATAGTACTAATGTTAATCCTGACAGAAAAAGTAGAAAAGATTATTTTTTTTCATTAATCAAAAAAAACAAGGAACTTTCAGAAAATGAAAAAAAGTATTGTAAAGAAAGGTTTATCTATGATTTTGAATTAAACAATGTAAGAAATAAATGGTGTGAGCCAAAAGAATGCAACAAGTGTAAATTGACAAGATATTCTAATAGATTCTGTGAAGGTTGCATTAGTTTACAATTACAGAGTCTTTTCACCACTTGGACATCTGGAAATAACATAATTGATAATTTTATTCAACAATGTCAAATGATATCATCTCTGCCAACTTATATTTTAGAATGGATACCTATTGAACAATTTAAAAAAGTAACAAAGTTAACTGAAGGTGAATTTAGTTCAATTTTTACTGCTACATGGACAAGAGGATCTATTGTTGATTACAATGAAAATAAAAAGGAATTTAGTTATTTTGGAGGTAGAGGACAACTAGTAGTATTAAAAAGTTTAAATGATTCAAGTAATTCAAGAAAAGGCTTTCTTGATGAGGTTAGTAGTTGTCATTTAAAACAAAAATAAACAATATTATATTATATAATGCTAATTGATTTTATATTTATTTTCAGGCAATAAATTATTGTAAAATTAAATCACCACTGATTGTTAAATGCTTTGGTATAACTAAATTCCCAGATAATGGAAATTATGCAATAGTTTTAAGTTATTTATCAGAGGGAAATTTAAGGGATTATTTGCAAAAAAATTTAACATTAAAAGACAGAATTAGAATCTTTTATTATTTGTGTTATGCATTAGATGATATACATAAAAAAAATTTAATCCATTGTGATTTACATAGTGGTAATATACTTATAAAAGGAGGTAATTGTTTGATTACAGATTTGGGATTATGTGGACCAGTTAATGAAAAATCATCAAATAAAGTCTATGGAATTGTACCATATATTGCATCCGAGCTACTTAAAGGCAAAATTAATACAAATAACACAAAAGAAACTGATATCTATAGTGTTGGGATGTTAATGTGGGAAATATTTGCAGGTCATCCACCATTTGATTATAGAGCTCACAATCATTGCTTGGTTTTTGATATATGTGAAAAAGGTTTACGACCACCAATATTATCTGAAATGCCTGAAGATTATGCACAAATGATGCAGAGGTGTTGGGATGTGGATCCATCAAAAAGACCAACTAGTAAAGAACTTCGGAAGTTTGCTAGAAGTAAATATAATGATATTTCTAAAAATAATAATGGTAATAGTAATACTACTACTACTTATAGTAATAGTGCTTTGCAACAAGCACACAAATCACATCCAGATGCATATCATACAAGTAGAATCTTAGATGGTGAGATTACTAAATCTAAAAGTTTAAAATTTTATACAAGTAATGTTAGTTTGTTAAATAGCCTTGATTATAACTCTTTTATCTTAAACGTTGAAGGTGAATAAAAATTTCATTATTAACTAATTGGAAATTATCATCCATTAATAAATAGTAGAAGAAAGAATTGATTAATGACTAATTTAATATCCACTATAGATTTTCTCAACATCTCTGTTTAGTTGTTCATCAACCACTACTTTATCATAAATCTAAAAAATTTATTTATTTATTTATTTATTTAATAGATGAATTTACACATATTAATAATATATTTATTTTTACCTGCGACATTATTTGAACAGTAGAAAATCCTGATGCAATAATATTATCTATCATTTAAAGGCATATAAGCAGTCTCAATCAATTTGTCAATAATATCATCTGGCACAACCCATTTTGAAAATTTTCAGCAAATAGTACCAAAAATATTAAAATTAAAAATTTAATAAATCAATAATTAATTTACCCCTCCAATTTCTAAAATTGAATTAGCAGTAATTCTTCCATTTTGATGTAATCTGGCTGTGCTTTGAAGAAACATTATGGATTTTCTCAAATCACCATTAGATATCTTAAGAATCTCATCTATAGCCTATTTGGTAATTAAAGGGAATACATTAACCTAAATATTTCATCAAGCATTGACTTTGTATGTATTTATTTCTTTAATAATAATAGTATTACCTTGGGATCATAATTAATATTTTCATTTTCACAAATATGTTCAATTCGTTTTTTGGCACTTGAAATATCCAGTGGTTTAAATCGAAATTTTGCACAACGAGAAGTCAATGGTTTTATTATACTTCAAACAATTTTTTTATAATGTATATTTATATTTTTTTCAGGGAAACAATTAGTGAATTTAATTACCAGCTAACATAATAATAAATCAAACAGAAACGAGTGATTCTAGAATAATTTTCCATTATGTGTCTTAAAGCTGTTTGAGCATCATGTGTCAATGAATCAGCTTCATTCAGCATAATGATTTTGTAAGGTGGACAAGGATATTTACTTATGATTGACCATATGTAGATAAAATTTTTTTTCCAGATCATGTTAAAACCATTACTCTGAATTTTTAATCTAATAATTAATTGCTTTTCTTAAATAAACTCTAATCACCTTGCATGCCGACTAACTGCTGCACATGCAAAAATTTTTACCTTTTCCCTAATAACTTGAATTCCATGTTCAT